TCACAATGATCCTCCTGCCTCAGCCTCCTGAGTACTGGGATTACAGGCGTGTACCACCACGCCCAGCAGCTTTTTCATAAATGATATGTTATGTACCTTTGTGCAACTTGTCCTAACCACTTACTATTTACTGATGTTTGTTCTACATCAAAGACCCTAGGCCAGTGGTGGCAGCCCTAGGGCATGTATACCACAGTGGGCTGTTTGTATCATTGAAAGCTCTTAAAAGGTTGCCATTATGGCTAGACTGTGTACAGCAAGTCATTCCAGAGTATGCATTTACTGTTGTTCATTTATGAGCATTTATATTGGTTCTACTTTTTTCACAGTAAAAAATATACTGTGAGCCAGATGTGCTGGCCCATGTTTATAGTGCCAGCTACTGGGGAGGCTCAGGCAGGAAGACTGCAAGTTGGAGGTAGCTTAGGCAATTTAGCAAGACCTTGTCTCAAAAGATAAAAAGGGCTGGGAAGTAACTCAGTAGTAGAACCTTGGCCTACCATGCATAAAGATTGGGGTTTGATCACCAGCACTATTAAAAAAAAATACACACACACACACACACACACACACACACACACACATTCTTCATTCCATTTAGAAGTATTTCTCCAGCTAGGCATGGTGGTGCACACCTATGATCCCAGCACTTAGGAGATTGAGGTAAGAGAGATTGCCACAAGTCTGAACTATATAACAAGACTGTGTCTCCAAACAAACATGTGAGTTTGAGCTCAGCCTGGGCAGTTTTGTAGGGCTGGGGATGTAGTTCAGCATAAATATCCTGGGTTCAATCCCCAGTACATGGAAGGAAGGGAGGGAGGAAAGGAAGGAGGGACGAAAAGAGGGAGGGAGGCAGGCAGGCAAGCTATGACCCAATCTTGTTATTACAGCACTCAGGAGGCTGATGCTGAAACATAAAGAATTTGATGTCTCTCTTGGTGTCTTCACATAGTGAAAGGAGTGAGTGAGCTTACAGCTCTTTCACTGATTGATTTATTTTTGCTTGGGATTAAAGTGCAGGCTAGCCTTGAACTCACTATGTCGCCTAGGCTATACTTGAATTGCAGCAATCCTCCTGCCTCAGCCTCCTGAGTTTTATTATTTTGAGACAGGATCTCATTAAGTCTCTAAGGTACCCCGGCTGGGCTCTAACTTGCAATCCTCGAACTGCGTCAACGTCCCAGAGTGCTGGGATTACAGGTGTGCCCTACCCTAGTGGACTTTGCACATCTCTTTTATAAGGGCACTAATCCCATTTATGAGTGCTTCCTACTCACAACCTGATCACTTTCGACTCACCTTTTGGTCTCCTCAACTTTTTTTTCATTTTTGAAAATTTTTATTAATACATGTTTGTAATTCATGCTGTTTACAGTCATGTTGGGAGTGGTTACGTGTACATATCACAGGTTGTTTCTTTTTATTTCTCCCTTCCCTGCCCCTCCCCCTTCCCCACTGACTCAGATATCCCCTTTTCCATACTTGCTGATATTATTTGTCTTAGCTCATGTTATGGCATATAGTGTTTACATTAATTGGGGTTATTAGGTTCATGTACATGACATATCGTCATCCTTCCCCTCTTCCTCACTCTTCATCCTAGTCCCTCGGATTGCTTTGCTACTGCAAGAGATCCATCCCATTGTCCCTTTCTATCAATTCTGTTTTTTTTTTCTTTTTTGTTTTTTTTTCAGCACCAGGAATCGAACTCAACCTCATGCTTGCCAGGCAG